ATAAGTTAGATATTACTTGTGGTTTCTGGTGTGCATTCTCGTTTTTATTTATCAAAAATACAATAAAATATATGTTATAGAAAAAATGGTTTCTGCTCCCCAATTAAGGAAAATGGGGAGCAGGGAACGAGAAGGAAAGGAAAGTGAAGAAGAAGAAGAGGAAAGGACATAAATGGAAGGAGGAAGGGAGGAGTAAAGAAAAGGAAAAGAAAAAAAGAGGGGAAGAAAACATATTATAGATACACTATCACAAAGATATTCTTATAATCTTTTAGGCTTATGGTTAACCAAGAATCTTTTTGGTTGTATTTCTGTTTATTTATTTATTTATTTATTTTTATTTGCTATGGTTACAATAATCAAAGACGGAAAAGATAAGAATAATGTATAGCCGTAGAAAGAAGAAAAAATTTAAAAGAAGAGAATGAAAAGAAAAATGAAAGAAATGTAATTATCACTTTTGTTAAAAGTCTAAAATGTGTGATATTGTTACATCCTTAAATTTTTTTTTAAATATGTGTTTCTGCCCTAAATAAAGTAAATTATTACTGTTTATTATTAATTTTTCCCTTTTTTGTCACTTTCTGTGTTATTGTAATACATAAGTTAGATATTACTTGTGGTTTCTGGTGTGCATTCTCGTTCTTATTTATCAAAAATACAATAAAATATATGTTATAGAAAAAATGGTTTTGTAACCATACTCCAGCTGGAGTGAAAAGCTTGAATTTATTTTATTCTTGTGAGTGCATATTTATACCTTCCATCCTATTGTGTCCAGTACTGTATTACACTATGTATAGTTTGGTTTAACACTTCTAGTTTCTCCACATTCTGTGATATACTTGGAAGAATTCCTTCTATCAATATATGCACTAAAGTTGTATATTTTGTATTTGTTGGGTTGGTGACATTATAGACTACTCTTTTATAAGCTTGTTCACTATATGGTCTATGAAGGCCAGTTTATATATACAAAACATAAACAGAGATAGCCATTATTATATCTTAAAGGTTTGTTTGATTGGAGATTGGAACAAAGAGTTATTTTTCAGAGATTTCATGTTTGTGAGAGAGTTGATATTTTCTGATAGGGTATTCTACAACTGCATGTTCTTAGTTGATAACTACCTGGACATATTACCCATAATTCGAAAAAGGCGACTCTTCTCTTTCTTTTTAAAAGGGATAATTGGCCCATATTTTTTTAAGTGACCACTCTAAAAGTCTTCTAGTAGACAGATGATTGCAATTTTATTAAACTTTCAGTAGACAAACACGTTAAATGATCTTCAAAAACCAAGTATGTGAGCTTCATTATTGAAATTCCCCACTAGCTGATAATTATATGAAACACCATTGCAGTAGTTGCTTTAACCCCTTAAGGACTAAACTTCTGAAATAAAAGGGAATCATGACATGTCACACATGTCATGTGTCCTTAAGGGGTTAAAGAGTTTTCTGAATCTGCCAAAATGTTATGGTGTCCCTGAATCTTTAGAATGCCTTATTTCACACACCTATGGATGGAAGATCAGTGAAGTTTTCTTCATTTTTCCATTCAGGTAGAAGATTTTCTACTCATTTCCAATTCAGCGTGCTTTGGTCTGACAACAGTATCTAGTATCTAGAAGCTTTAATGGAGAATAACTTAACACTTTCTAAGAAGTAACTGGGTTCCTTAACTATGGATACTTCATGAGAAGCTTGGGAAGCCCATTTAGTTTCACATTTTATTCAAGGTTCTAGGACAAGACAAGAGAAAAGAAGCACTTCAAATTTCAATGAACTGAAATTAGTTATGATAGCGCTAAAGGGTTTTTGTCCTCTGATTTGCGGTCTTTCCATTCAGATTTGTTCAAACAATCTATCTACTATTTCTTATATCAACAAGCTAGGAGGTACCTTCAATTATTTAATTAATGCAGACATCATTTTTGGGCAGAGGATCATTTGGAGGCTCTGTTAGCCATCCATATGAAAAGTCACCTTTCAACAGATCAAAAAACTTCTGCATGACAGTTATCAGCCTGACCTGCTTGAACAAAAATAAGCCACCTTTTAATTCAATTTCAAAGCTCAACAACCCAGAATTTCTGTATCCTTTGCCAACTCCATGTTTGTTTGTTTTTTTGCCCATCGTGTATACAGGTACTTTCACATGTGACCTTATTTCTACATATTCTTCAAACGATTAGATTGGACAAAGCTTCAATCATCTCCATAATTCCATTCTGCTCCAGAAGGGTATGGTACATGGAACTCATGGAATTATTATGAGGGAGATTTTGGAATAGTCCTATATTGAATCATGTCGTAGCAATCATGGTATCACTGCAAACACTGGATAACTTACATTTAACCATATCGCTTCACAAAGGATGTTCTCAAAATAAAAGGGTCAGATGATGAAGTTATTGAAACTTTGGTTTCTTCTATCAGGAAATTAACCTTCATTATTTATCAAAGAATTTGCAATATCATTTTGTTGCATGGTAGTCCTCTTTGAGTATTCACCCATGGGATTTTCCTATCACCCAGATCCTTAGTTTCCTACAACATAGTTTAACACATCTACTCTACAAGTTTAAATCTTAACCTTGAGTTTCATCCTTGCAAAGAAACTGGCTTTGGATTTGCTTATCAAACCTTTAGGTAAGGTCTTGATTCATTTGCCCCCTCTGAAGCAGATAATCATATAAGTTCTTAATGTACTATGTGGTCCTCCCTTTGAACACATCAGGGAGTTTTTTGAAGACTCTAACCATGAAAACAATCACCAATTTGCCATTACATCATCTAAGAGGGATGGATATTTACAACCTTATCTGTCTTGCCCCCTGGAAACCAACATTTATGAGGACAAAATGGTAATTGAACTTCAACCATTCAAGTTAGGGACTGCACTAAAAATAGGTATTAACGTATAAGAGTGAGTACAAAAATAACAAATGTAATATGAGATGTAAACGTTTATTTTCAGTAATAAAAAATATTCACCAGTTTCCCGTGAATATAAAAAATTTAAAATGCCATCATTTAAAATGTTTGAAATGTTTGGAACAATAAGCATCCTGCTTAATAAGTTGAGCTAAAATAATGCCAGTACCACCCTCCATAGTATTTTGCAAGAAGAACAGTTCATAATGGGTTAATGCAACACTACTAGCAATAGTTTGCAATATATATGACACTTGGACAGAGTGAGAGATTGTTCTATAGGAATTTCAAGGTTAGTGGAAACTGAGGAATTGGGCAGTTTCACGGATCAGAAAAATTCATTTATCATCATGCAGTTCTGATTAATATCACTTGTCTGAAATGTATAGCTAGTCAGACAAAAATGGCTCTAGACTGTAAAAAGTTCAGTGGGTTAAAGAATCTGTCCAAAAAGGAAATCAGGTGGCATGCTTAATGGTTCATTCAGACAGATTTCAAAACAATTTTACAGTTGCTTATTTATTTTAATAAATATATATGTGTAATGCTGTTTATACAACCCTCTGCTCTAGCATATTTTAGATTCTGTTTTCTATTTTTTTTATCTAGTTACATTTGCTTCATTTGTTTCGTTTTTGGGCTTTTCAATTTAATTCTTTTCTCTCGGGTGTATTTATGATCATCGAAGGAAGACAGATCGTCCTTGTTCAAGATATTAAGTGTAATATAATCTGAATTGTCCATTATTGCACATTTTTACAATATGATTCTCTGGTGCATTAATTTTGCTGTACTTTTCTTTTATTCTGCCGAACAGTAAAATATTTAATTTAAATGTAAATTAAAAGAAAAGTTCTTACTAATTATATGATGTCTTTAATGATGGTCCAATTTGTGTTGTGTAAAAAACCCATCGATGTATAAATAACATCAAATGGGAAGGTTAATACATTTATTTATTTACTGATTCCTATTTGTTTTCATTTGTTAACCAATTGAACAATATTGATATTGGTTGTTACTTCTAAGTGCTGCTTCAAAGTGTGTGCTTGGAGATATTCTGGAGATAAACTGAAGGTAATCTGAGGTATACAGGTGTCAGGATTACAAGTTGATCCAGCACGCAGTACTATGTCACACCTAGGACTGAGGATAACGTATAACCGGACCTTAGAATGGCCGGACTTAACGTCTACAAGAATAGTCAACATACTTTCCGAGGTCAGGGACACAGAAGCAGATAAAAAGATGAGGGAAAGCCAAAAGTCAAGGATACCAGATATCAGGGAAGTCAAAACAAAGCCAAAGTGAAATACCAGAAAATCAAGATCAAGAACGCACTCTTGGATAACTATAGGCATGAAACCACGTCAGGGTGGAGCAAAAGAAGAATTGGGTTTAAATACCCCTCCGGTGGATCCGATTGGCTGTAACCGGCCTTTGACCCCAAAGGCAATTACCAGGTTTCCATGTGCATGACTACTGCTCAGCACAAACCCTCCTGTGGATTTGTTTGGCCATGACTGGCCTTTGACCCCAAACGTAATTACCAGGTTTCCATGTGCATTATTGCTGCTCGGCACATCTTTTCCTGTCAGGGCGGTAATGTTGTTCGGCACAACTTTAACTGTCAGTACAGTAAATGCCATTAACCACATTTTTATGTGCGGATGAATACGTGACAACAGGAGGACAAAAAAAAAGTTACGATTTGTTTAATTTTAATTACTCACCTCATTAAAATGGCAGACTTAGTTTAGTGTAATAGTTGTTATGCATTTGCAAGTTTCACTTTTTGAAGATTTGGATGCTATCTAATCTGTAGACAGTTCTCTATATTGTGGCAAGAGATTGTATTTTTGAAGTCTGAGATTTGTAAATTATCCGGTAAACAAACTTAGGCTGGAACTGTTGCAAAGCCACTGCCGCAGAGATGTACTAGGAATGGCAGATGGATTACTTTAGGATCTGGTAGACTTAGAGTTGTGGATAAAATGCATATTGCACAGTATGTTGCTCTACACAATTCATTTTCAGTACTTTCAGAGTGTAATGATGTTATGGAGACAGGCCCACGCACCAAGTGTACTGGTGTTATGGAGACAGGCTCAGGCACTGAATTTAGTGGTGTTATGGAGACAAGCTCAGGCACAAAGTGTAGGGATGTTGTTGAGACAAGCTCAGGCACTGAGTGTAGTGGTGTTGTGGAGACAGGCTCAGGCACTGAGTGTAGTGGTGTTGTGGAGACAGGCTCAGAAACTGAGGGCAGTGGTATTGTGGAGACGGGCTCAGGCACTGAGTGTAGTGGTGTTGTGGAGACAGGCTCAGGCACCGAGTGTAGTGGTATCATGGAGACAGGCTTGCAGACTATGGTGAGGCCTAATAGAAAGCAGGTGTTGTTGGGAGATTCTATCATAAGAGGTGTGGACCTGGACAATAGTGGTTTTGTGAGATGTCTTCCCGGAGCTACTGCTCACAGAGACAGGAGTCGTATTTGTAATATTGTAAGCGAGCAAAGCAGGAAGGGGAATTTTAAGTACTTGTCCATCTAGGGACAAATGACTTGGCTTGCAATGAGGTTTTAGAGGTAAAGGAAGTTTTTATTTTTTTTGCAAATGATATACGGCAGGTTGCTTCAACACTGTCATTCTTTGAAGTTCTGCCTGTGCATAACACTCAGAACGACAGGTGGATACGGAGTAGGGACTTTAACTTGTGGCTTGGTGAATGGTATCGGGAGCAAGGATTTGGATCATTTCTCATGGTAGCTCTGTTTGGAATGGAAATAAACTGTACAAAAAAGATGGTTTGCTCAAAAGGGAACAAATGTTCTTGGTGAGCAGTTCGGAGGTTATGCAAAGATGTATTTAAACAAGGAGGGGGGCAAAAGGGAGCTAAAACATCAAAACAATTGCCCCTCTAAACAAGTACAGAAGGTACCTGTTGAAAGTGTGTTAAAAAATTATAAGCTTAGAGTCATGTATACAAATGCTCGCAGTTTAGGGAATAAGACCCATGAACGTGTGGCAATAATGGCAACTGATAATGTAGATTTAGTTGTTGTTACTGAGACATTGTATAATTAGAAAAATGACTGGGACATAGAAATACCAGGGTACTCTTTATATAGAAAAGACAGAGAAGGCAAGAAAAGGGGAAGGGTGGTCCTGTATGTGAAGGATAGCATAAAATCTAGCCTAATAAAAGTTAGTGAGGCGAATATAGAGTCCGTTTGGGTTACATTAAAATTTGGTAATCACACTGTAACTCATGTAGTTGTGATTTATAGTCCCCCCAGGACAAATAGAAGAGTTAGATAATCTATTAGTTGTGGAAATAGCTAAAATGACAATGAAGGGGGAAGTTATCATTATGGGTGACTTTAATATTCCTGATGTGAACTGGAAAACCAAAATAGCTGCTTGTGCCAGGAGTCCAAGAGAAAAGTGATTATTTAAAAGTTGCACTGCTGAAGACAACAGAAAAATGCATTATGCTTATTAGTAAATGCAAAAAATTTAAGAAACCACCGTGGTACTCCACAGATGTGGCCAAAATAGTAAAAAACAAAAAGTGCGTATTTAGTAATTAGAAAACAAATACATAAATAAGAAAAGGAAAGTAAAACAAGGATTAGTTAGATTAAAAACAAAAGAAGGAAGGTATGTAGAAGATGAACCATTCGGCCCATCTAGTCTGCCCAATTTTTAAAAATACTTTCATTAATCCCTGGCCTTATTTTATAGTTAGGATAGCCTTATGCATATCCCACGCATGCTTAAACTCCTTTACTGTGTTAATCTCTACCACTTCAGCTGGAAGCCTATTCCATGCATCCACTACCCTCTCAGTAAAGTAATACTTCTGGATATTATTTTTAAATGATAAAGGTCTAGCTGACTGCCTCAATGAATATTCTTGTTCAGTATTTATAGATGAAAATGAAAGAATGGGGCCTCAGTTAGGAAAAAGGACAAATGAGTCATTTGTTACATGTGAGTTTACAGAGGAAGAGGTTATTTTCCAACTGTCAAAAGTAAAGACAAATAAGTCAATGGGATCTGATGGAATACACCCAAAGTTATTAAAAGAGCTTAGTGGTGTACTAGCAAAATCAATAACAGATTTATTTAACCAATAATTGTTAACAGGAGTAGTCCCAGAAGATTGGAAGTTAGCGCCCATTCACAAAAAAGGTTATAGGAAGGAGTCAGGCAACTATAGACCAGTAAACCTTACTTCAGTAGTGGGGAAAGTGATGGAAACCATGTTAAAGGATAGGATTGTTGAACATCACATGGATTTCAAGATCAGAGACAACATCGGTTTACTTCAGGGAGATCATGCAAAACCAATCTTATTGATTTTTTTGATTGGGTAACTAAAATAATAGATCAGGGTGGTGCAGTAGACATTGCTTACCTAGATTTCAGTAAGGCATTTGACACTGTTGCACATAGAAGGTTTATCACTAAACTGCAATCTTTAAGTTTGGATTCCAATATTGTTGAATGGGTAAGGCTGAGTGACAGGCAACAGAGGATAGTAGTCAATGGCGTATATTCAAAGCATGGTCTTGTTACCAGTGGGGTACCTCAGGGATCTGTACATGGTTCCATTTTCTTTAATATTTTTATTAGTGATATTACAGAAGATCTTAATGGTAAGGTATGTCTTTTTGCTGATTATACTTAGATATGTAAGAGGGTTGATGTTCCAGGAGGAATAGGCCAAATGGCAAGTGATTAAATAAACTAGAAAAATGGTCAGAGTTGTGGCAACTGACATTTAATGTGGATAAGTGCAAGATAATGCATCTTGGACATAGAAACCCAAGGGCAGAGTACAGAATATTTGATAGAGTCCTAACCTCAACATCTGAGGAAAGGGATTTAAGGGTAATTATGTCAGATGACTTAAAGGTAGGCAGACAATGTAATAGAGCATCAGGAAAATTCTTACATACATAGTTACATAGCTGAAAAGACACTTGCGTCCATCAAGTTCAACCTTCCTCACATTTGTTTTTTGCTGTTGATCCAAAATAAGGCAAAAAAACCCAATCTGAAGCACTTCCAATTTTGCAACAAACTAGGAAAAAAATTCCTTCTTGACCCTAGAATGGCAGTCAGATTTATCCTTGGATCCTACGTTGTATAGGGAGAGGTATTAACAGTAGAAAGAGGGAAGTACACATGCCATTGCACAGAACACTGGTGGGACCTCACTTGGAGTACTGTACACTGTATTGGAGACTGTATCTCCAGAAGGATATTGATACTTTGGAGAGAGTTCAGAGAAACTAAACTGGTTCATGGATTGCAGGATAAAACGTACAAGGAAAGGTAAAAGGAACTTAACATGTATAGATTGGAGGAAAGACAAGACATGGGGGATATGATAGAAACATTTAAACACATAAATAGAATCAACACAGTAAAGGAGGAGACTATATTTAAAAGAAGAAAAACTACCACAACAAGAGGACATAGTTTAAATTAGAGGGGCAAAGGTTTAAAAATAATATCAGGAAGTATTACTTTACTAACCTATTACTTTTACTAACCTCTACCACTTCCAGCTGAAGTGGTAGAGGTTAACATAAACATGTATTCCTGACCCTATAGTGTTAAAACCACCATCTAGCCCCCTGGGTCCCTCATGCCTCCCTAAATATAGCAGAATCTTACTTGTACTTAAGCCTGAAGCTGTAGCTCTGCATGCTGTTTGACTCAGAATAGCAAGCTGCCTGCTGACATGATCAGAAGTGGTGGCCTGATCCAATCACAGTGCTTCTCACTGAATCAATGAATCTCTATGAGGAAAGTTCAGTGTCTGCATGCAGAGGGAGGAGACACTGAATGTTTGGATGCATTTTAGGCAGCCATGATTCAGGAAGGATATCTAACAGCCAGGGCCGGACTGGGAGAAAAATTTGGCCTGGGCATTTTTTTTAACACAGCGGCCCACTAAGAAGGGGGCGGGGCAGAGGAGGTGTGTTTTGTCATCACCAATGACAAACACGCCTCCTCTCAAAGTGAGCATGTTGGTTCAATACTCTTCCAGGGCAGACCATGCGCAGAGCTCTGCTGAAGAGCTCTAGCATGAGAAAAAAGTCCTGTATTTGTTCTGCACAGTGCAAGCAAATTTAATAACATGCTTGCACTGTGTTTCCTTGCAACTTGTCTCTGGTGTCTCTATAAATGGATACCAGGAGACAAAAGGGCTATACAGGCTATAGTGTGTGTGTGTGTGTATATAGGTGATGTAGTGTGTGTTTAGGGGTGTAGTACGTGTTTGCTTACAAGGAATCTAGTGTGTGTATAGGAGATCCAGAGTGTGTATGTTAAGAGTGTAGTGTGTGTGTGTGTGTATATATATATATATATATTTGGAAGTATTGTGTATGTGTGTGGTGCACTGTGTTTGGGGGGTTCTGTGTGTGTGTGAGGGGTGCAGTATGTGTGTGTGAGAGTGTCGTGTGTGTGATGGGTGTGAGAGTGCTGTGTGAGAGAGTGCTGTGTGTGATGGGTGTGAGAGAGTGCTATGTGTGAGTGCTGTGTGAGAGAGTGCTGTGTGTGATGGGTGTGAGAGTGCTGTGTGAGAGAGTGCTGTGTGTGAGAGTGCTGTGTATGATGTGTGTGAGAGTGCTGTGTGAGAGTGCTGTGTGTGATGGGTGTGAGAGAGTGCTGTGTGTGAGTGCTGTGTGTGATGGGTGTGAGAGTGCTGTGTGTGATGGGTGTGAGAGTGCTGTGTGAGAGAGTGCTGTGTGTGAGAGTGCTGTGTATGATGTGTGTGAGAGTGCTGTGTGAGAGTGCTGTGTGTGATGGGTGCGTGAGTGCTGTGTGTGATGGGTGTGAGAGTGCTGTGCGTGATGGGTGTGAGAGAGTGCTGTATAAATGTTAGAATGGATTGTGTGTGTGTTGGGGGGGTAAATAAAAACTAAAAACAGGCATTAAATCCGGCACACTGGTGACTGGGAGGCGGGGTGGCAGTGTTCCTTGGTGGTCCTCGTGGTGAGTGAACTCTAGCCTGCATAGCCTGTGGGGCTAGAGTTCACTCTCGCGAGATCCGGTCGTTGCCATGGCAATGCGCCGGATCTCGCGAGAGGAACCCGGCGTAGCTTCAAGTTAGAGCTCCGCCGGGTCCTCTCCTGGCGGCTGTCTCCCTCCCTCTCTCCCCGCCGCCGGCCACATTTGGGCAGGTGAGGGAGAGCTTTGATCTCCCCACCGGCCCGTCATGGGAAACAGCGGGGCCGGCGCTGGGAGAGTGCCGGCCCTGCATAGACCAGCAGGGGAG